TTTTTACGTCTGATTAAGAACTATAAGAATGATAAAAAAAGAAACAATATGAAAGTTTTTATTTCAATGTTAAGAATTCTCAAAATCGTTTTTTTATCCTAAGAATTCTTTATTTTCCGTTTTTTAGTTTATAATTTTTTGATAAAAATTTTTCTCAAAATAGTTTTTTTGAAAAATTGAATGGTATAACATTATGTGTTAATGTATACTTCTTGTATATTCCAATGTTTGAAGTAATATGATTCAGAAAAGTATGGAATAAAAATTCGATACTCACGTATTAACGCCACCGCCGCTACAGATTTGACGGTTTTTAAGTGCCTCCAATCTACACTTAAAATTTTTGCGACAGTTCATAACATAAAACACTTTATTTAAAATCAAAATAGTCAATCGGATTTCGGTGGAAAATGAACCGATAGAGAGTTTAACATAGATTCAAAACAATCATATCGCCATATGAACTCTGATAAATAAGATTCCAAATGAAATAACATTTCCAAAACGTACTTTTACCAAGATAAAGTTTCATGTTGTGGGAATTGGTACATTTTCGTTTTTTCGGTAAAATATTTCCCTCCTGAAAAAATAAAATTGCATCTTGTTTTGTTTTTGGCAAATCCCAAAGACGAATTTTCGTAGCACTAAAAATGGCGACAAAAAAGAATTGTTTTTTTGTTTTTGTTTCGTCAGCGCTCTTTATTTTACGTTTCTTAGTTTCTAAATAATGATTTTTATTGAAACTTGAAATTTTTTGATAAAAATTGTTGTCAAAAAACTTTGCTTACAATATTAAATTTCATAAAATTATGAGGCTTATGTATATTTTTTGTTCATTTTAATTTTTGAAGTAATATGATTCTTAAAACTATAGAATGTAAAGTTCAAATGGGCCTTTCATGTTATATCATTAAATTTAGTAATACTATTTCTCGGGCATTATGCTTTAACTCTTATAAGAATATACATATTTTTTTCTGCTAATGAACAAATATTTTTCTGATGTGTTTTGGATATTCCTTCTCGAATAAAAAGAGATACCATTTTGTTTTCGTTTGCATAAGAAAGAATATCAAGCATTTTTCTTTTTTAAATTTAATTAGCCACAATAAAGAAGGAACGTTGCAATGCTACGTGCTACATTAACATCGTCTCTAGAGTAACTGAATGACTGTTCATATAGAAATCGCAGGTATTAGTCTCATACAACAACGCCCCCTATAGTTCGTTGCGATCGCGAATTGCCTTTAGAATTTTTATTAATTTTATGCTGATGACAACCAAAACAATATGGAAATCAATGTGGGAGAACTAGATCCTACCTTGTTATTTTTGACCAATAAAAATGCATCGACAACAATGGAAAACTGAATTGGACCATTACGTAATGTTATGGAGAGATAAAATTATTCTTCGGTTTCTTCTGTGACAAAAATTAACTGCCAATGAGTTACTACTTAAGACTTACTAATTACTGAATTACGCCTTATTAAACTTCTTATATAATTATAAATATATAAAATTATTCTTAGGTCTCATCTCCTGAGACATAAATTAACTTTCAATTTAAAATGTATACTGATCATTCAGCTTCTTATAGTATTAATAAAAGAAAATGTCTTCTGTTCAATATTTATATACAGTGCACTCCCGATTATCCGTGTTAATCACCGGAACAGGTCGCACGGACAATCGAAAAACACGAATAATCCGAAAACGCCTTTTATTAGAGAAAAATTCAATATCACCACGAAAAATATAAAAATTACTGACATTTGCATGCATATTTCCTTATTAAAAATGTATAATGCGTCTTCGCCATACATCGATACACATATTTTACGAACTGCAGTAATGTCACTGTAATCAAATCCTCCCATATAATCTAATAAAGTTTCCACAGTGCAGCAGAATGAGAAAATGTATTTCATTCATTTACTACATCTTCTGCATCAGTTACTATCATCACTATTTGATTTAACAACATAATGATGTCTTCATCAGTCAAATACTGGAAGCCAGGATCACATGCATCACTTTGAAACCAATGATCTAAATTTTCTTCATCAAGAATTTCGAAACCTTAGATTTCTTTTGCTTGTTCGAGAATACTGTTATCATATTTTTCTTGAACATCTGAAGAGGATTGTTCATCAAGCGGTATGATCTTTCTCCAAGATCGTGATAACGTAGACAATTTTACCTTCGACCATGTTACTGATATTCCATATACTGCAATCCAATAACGAATATTGCTTCCAAAAACTTGGTAGTGTTATAACTTCATGAATCAAGTTTTTTTAATCTTGAAAATGTTTCCCTTTATATTTTTTGTGAGACTCCGGAATGGTCACGGATAATCCGCAAACCGGATAATCCGTGAACGGATAATCGAGAGTGACTGTACTTAATTTATTAATATTCCAAAGTTGACTACGAAGTGAAAAATATTTATCCACAAACATAATCGATTTTTATATGTATTATATTTCCTATACTACTTTAATTTCTTTTTATTCACACATTTTTACCCATTGAGGAAAAGGGTGTTGTTTTAGGTTTTTCATGTCTGTACAATTTTTCCAACTAGATCAAATTCAACACTATAATCACAAATAAAGCGATTTAAGAATCATAAAAATTCTGGCTAACAAAATCATTACTGAAAAAGCACCTCAACAAGAGTAATTAAAAAAGGCAGGCGATAATTTTGCGTTTTGTTTTCATCAGGGTGTTTTTTTTAATGTTTTAACACAGCATTAGGTTAAAATATTTTTATGCTCTCAATAAGATGAGCTTATTCATAACTACTGCCCTAGCGGCGATTTAAGAATAAATATGAATACTGAAAGGGAGGAAGGAAAATAATTTTGTGACGCAATAAGAAATGTCTATTGGTTGGAATTGAAAATCATACCTGTCCATTTAATAGCAAGAGGACAAACATCAATTGATCTCATTTTTATAACCCATGATTTGAAGTATGGTGGTGTTTATTAAAATATAGCCAGAAAAAAAAATTTTGCTATGTAACGAGACATCGCAATAAATCTATAGCAATTTTTTCTCTCTCATAAATAATTCGCATTACAGTAAATCTTATAAATTTTTGCTAATTAACAAATATTTCCATTTCTAAGTAGATTAATAAGTTAATTGGTAAAACATTTTTTGCTTATGCACTAATCAGATTAATTTTTAAGTATTAAATAGCAGCCTACTTGTACTATGTGAAGTAAACATTTCATTTTCATTATCATTTTTATTAAAAATGATAATCACTATGAAAATATTTTCAATATCATTAATTTAAGATGGCATTCCAATTGAATAATGTAATACTTAATTCAATTTAATATATTAATTTAATTTAATATTTAATTCAATTTAATATTTTAATTTAATTTAATATTTAATTCCATTTAATATTTCAGTTCAATTTAATATTTCAATTCAATTTAATGTTTTTTTTTAACTCAAGTTAAGTTTTAAATGGTTTAAGAATTTTCGGTTTTGTATTTTTGTTTTAGTATTTGCAGAATAACAATAAATTATGTACAATTAATTGCACATTTTAAATACTTGCATGAAAGAAAGCAATGTTTGAAAATACTTAAATTTAAAGAATTGTCTTAAATAAAAAATTGAAGTTAATTTACTTAAAATGAGATATTAACTTTTTCATATAACATAATTAAAATTTATTTAAAGAAATTGCTCAAAAATTTCTTACCAATTAGAAAAAACAGGAATATAAATTTTGAATACATAGCGTAGAATTTTGGTAGCTCGTCTAATGCGGTAGTTAAGCAAAAACTTCTTATCACATAAATACTTTTTTTTATTGTTTTCTATTTACATTGTATTTTTTTGCCACAGGAAACTATTTCATTATCAAGGAGTTATTAGGGCCACTTGATCACATCGGAAACAGGCTTCCTCAATTAAATTGAAAGTTAGCTGATCCTTGAGATTTATCTGATTTATTTGACTAATTAAAATTGTCGTTATTTTTTTTTCTACTTCCTATAAAGTAAAGTATTTTATTCCTTTTCTAATTAATAAATGCAACCATAATTGTTTATATTGACTATTTTAATCTACAAATTGTTATTTTTTATTTTAATTCGAGCTGCAAGAAATAAACATCTATGTTTCTTAAAGATATATTAGTTCAATGTATTCTTTCCCTGTTTCTTATTCATCAAACATTCGTTAGTGACATTCTAGAGTAAAATTAATATCAATTAAGTTTTTTAGATGTAACAAACTTAATTTTTTAAAGTTGTATAAGCTGTAGCAGAAAAACAATAATAAGCTACAATTATATTAAGATATATGAGCTCAATGCATTATTTCCGGTTTTTAATTCACTAAACATTCGCTAGGGTCACTCTAGAGTGATATTAATATAGATTAATTTATTTAGGTTTAAGAAAACTAAATTTTTGAAAGCTGTATAAGTTGTAGCTGAAAAACAATAATAAGTTGCAATTATATAAAAAAAATCTACAATTATTGATAATTATGATCTTATTTCATCTAGATTAAATTTTTAATATAGTTTAAAAGCAATAATGATTATATTTAATCAATTTCGAAGTAAGTTTTTAATGCAACCAATAATTATGTATTTCTTCTTAATTGTTCGTCATCCTTCATTTTTTTTCTTCAAAGTCAATATTTTCAATTAAGAACATTTTACTTACAAAATATACTTTATTGTAGTTTTATGTCAGTACATTTTGTTAATTATGTTAATCGTAACCAATAAGCAATTTGCTAGATTTGAAAAATAATAATCTGTTTTTGAAAAAACAAATTGCGTATATATAGCGTGTCTCAATGAGAAGTAATTTTTCTTGTTAACGAGACTATTAACTATTTAAATATGCAACTATTTTTTTATCGCTCTTCCATTAAATTATATCTCATTTTGAAAAATTTCAATATAAATTTTAACATTTTTATCTGACAACCACTAATGTAGTACCTCTTTCGTTCTGTCTTTCCCTCTTTCTCTGTCCATTTTTGCTACTTTTGACATTAACTCAAGAGTGAGCTTATAAAATAAAAATCTCGAAGAAGGAAAACAAAATTTTACATAATGAATAAATAATTGATATTTAAGGTAAAAACAACTAAGAAAAATTCTTTAAAAAGGCATTTAAAATTTCAGTAACTTTCAAACAAGACAGAATTTTGAAAAAAAGGAAAACAAAAAGATAAAAAGGAATTGGTAGGTCAAATTTCAACTCCGTAGTTGCACTTTAATAGCACAGGAGAACAACTCGTTTAGCATTTCTTTTCTACAAGCTTGTTTAACAGTAAATAAATCTCGAACAAGTTATCAAATTTTAAATTTTCATATTCCGCTTTACATCGCTTTGCATTTTTTTTTTATTCCATTATTATCTGTGTCGAGAATTCCCACTATAACTGTCTTCTGCGCATGTTTTTTTGGTGCGCCCACAGCGCCACCAGTTGATGTTAATATCTCGATCTGAGAACAAGCATGTTGAGCTCCGTACGATAATTAGATGTTTAATTGTTTATCTTTTTTTGTTTGTTATATTTCGTTATTAAAGTGATTGTCTATAAAACATGTTAGAGTCTTTTATGACTGAGAAAATTGATGTTTATTACCCTCCAAAATGTGGCAGTCCTGGAGAACGGGGTAAGTAGCACTTACCTTAATTAATATAGAAATAGTTTTCTTCAGTTTTTGCTTAAAAATTGAAATTTGGCGCCCGAACAGGGACTGCCATTAAACGGTAATAAACTATTATTGACATTTATTGACTTTTACCTGATAACGAAATGTTGCATGTTTGAAATAAGACATTAAACACCAATTTAAAGAAATTAAGATTAGCAATTAAGAATAACTATAAATTGACTCACACTTACAGAATGTCTGAAGAAGAATTGAATAAATTGAAACGGAAACGCGGCTTTGTAAGAGCTTCGGTGACAAAGATGATTACTAAAATCGAAACTGACATTCTAAAACCGGACATAAGTGTGGAAGATCTCGAAGAATCACTCGAACTTTTTGGTGAAAAAAGCGAGGAATTAAAAACTATTGATTCTCAGATTGAGGGCTTAATCAAAATCGAGGATATGGAAGAGGAATTTAACTGTATAGAAGAGTACAAAGAAAAAATAACTAAAACAAAATTTAGAACATTAAGATTTATTAAGAATTTAAACAAAGAACTTGATTTAAATAATTCCTTTCAAGAAGCTAATATTTCTCTAAATAGTCCCAATCAGAGTGACATTCAAACCATTGAAAGGGAACGCATAAAGTTACCTAAATTAACTATTCCTAAGTACTACGGAGAAATTTCTGAATGGTTAAATTTTTGGAATTGTTTCAATTCGTCAATTAATGAGAATAAGAACCTCAGTAAACTTGATAAATTCATTTATTTGAGATCATTTTTAGGAGGTCCTGCGTTTAATGTGATTGATGGTTTAGAATTAACCGCGGAACATTATGATCACGCTATTGATTTATTAAAGCAACAATTTGGCGATACAAATATTTTGATTAATGTACACATTGAAAACCTACTCCATACATGCCCATTAAAAAACTCTAATGACGTAAAAAACTTCAGGAACATTTTTAATCACATACAAAAGAA